GCGTCAGGGGCCCAGGCCACGAGGAGGCGGCAGGGCTGCAGGGGGCCGGCGGCGACGACACGGGCGACGCTGAGCTTAGGGCAATGGCTGCTGCCATGAGGGCAGAGTTGGGAACGTGACGCACAGTCACCCCCTGAGCATGGGGGCGTGGCTAAGCTTCGTTCTCCGTGCCCTGCTCAGCCCTGTTTTTGTATGATTTGCCTGTGGCAAATGCAGGACCGACCCACGCTGTGCGTTGCTGCTGCCACCTGGCGCTGCAATGCGCCGCATTTGCCTCGTTCATGCATGCATCGTGAGGCTTCGGTCTCCCAGACCCTGTAATGTTCCCAAGATCCTGTCTGTTGTCACAACTTCACAGCGCTGCTGCAGTCAGCAGGGACCGTGCAGCCATGCGCAGGCTGAGATATATATACAGCTGAGATATTTAACATCAGGGCCGTGCACAGCCAGCTAAATGTCGTGTCAGGGGAGACCGTCCAGGGTGCACCCGCCGAACGCCCGCTGCCGCCGCCGCCACCCGCCACCCGTTTAGATCACATCAGGTCCTGCCAGGCGGCCTTCGTGTCCTCAGGCAAGTCTGGCAGCTCCAGCAGTTGGTGGCCCAGCTCAAGGAATGTGCGCACCTGCGTGGGGGGCGCGCGGGGTGGGGTGGGGCGGGGCGCCTAGGCTGGTATGATGGGCCTTTCCAGCCGCAAGATGCGGGCATCATCCGGCAGCCCCAAACTGCGCTGCTGCCGTACCCAGAATCCCGCGTGCCTCAAGCACATTTGGTTAGCAGGCCCCGCCATTCCTTGCTCCACACGCCTTGCAATGGGGCATGTCATGGGGGCGCTGCGTATCGGAGCATCCTATGGGGGCCCCACTTGCGGGGGACCACATTCATGCGCGCGCCATCTTGCAAACCCCCACCCCACCAGCCCCCGCCGCACCCCAAGGGCATACTCTCCGCCACGGCTGCCATGCTTGAGCCACCCGTCAGCCACCAGCTTGCCCAGCGCCGCCTCCTTGGCGACCTTGGTCATCTTGACCGCCGCCCCCTGCTGCTGCGACTGCTGCTGCTGCTGCGTGGCGCCGTCCTCCTGCTTCTGCGTCGGCTGCGTGTGGGTGCGCACCTCCTTATTGAGCAGCTGCCAGGGGCAAGGGTGGGTTGGGGGTAAGATGAGCGATGTGAAGGGGGTTTGGTTGTGTTAAAATGCAGGGGGAGTTGTCAAGACGGGCGTTATTGTTATATTGCGTCGGCCCAGACACAGATTGATGCGGGACGGCAACCCGCAGCTCGGCGGCGTGCGCGGCCTCGGCGCCCGCAGGCAGCCGCGGCGAGCCCGTCTGCCCGGCCCCGCCGCTGGTTCAGTGTTATCAATATCATTGGTCCCCGGGAGCCCTGGGAGGGCCTGCGGCGCTGAGGCTGACACCCACGTATGTCGAGCTCATCGCGCCGACGCCGTCCTGCGCCCGGTCGTCCTCCGCGATCGCCTCCATCTGCAGAGGGGGAGCGGGGGAACAAGGCGCGGGGTCGGCCGAGGGGGGGCCCGTGCTTTAAACCGCAGGAGCGGGTGGGGCAAGGCGTGGGGTCGCTTCGACGCGCGGCGTGCTGGCCTGTGCAGCATCTCTGCTGGCGCGGAACCTGTGTTTTGGACTGGACAACGGCCGGCTGCCCCTGGCTGGGCGGCGTTGCGATTGGGGATGGAGAAGCCTGACAGCCGCGGCGGACGCCTATCGGGTCCCCTGCGCACCACCATTCGGAAGAACTCCCGCTCCTGGGGGGTGTAGCGCGTCCCAAACTTCGAGGGCGCATCCACATGCTATTGGGGTGGTGAGGGGCCGAGGAGGGGGCGGGGCGCACGGCGCGTCCGGCGCGTGTGGGTGGGAGCGCTGACGCAGGCAGCACCGGCTGCGCGTCCAGCCGGAAAAGAGAGCTGCGGCAGGGGGCGACATACATGCCCTCTCCGAAACAAGTCGACACATCGTCCTGTTGCAGCCGTTGGATGCGGGCGCCGCGCGCTCGGTCCCCGCCTGGCACGCACTGTGTTAATGAACCCCACGTAGCGCTCCTGGTCCAGCTGCGGGGCGCGACGAGGGCGAGGGGGCAGGCTGGTAGCAATCAGAATGACGGCCTGGTGGTAACGCTGCTGTCAGCCAGGGTTGCCCAGCCGCAGTCACTGAGGGCCGGCAAGCGCTCTGCACAAACGTTGACGCTGCCAGGCGGCCGGTCGCGGGGCGGCCGGCGCCCGCCGAGCCACCGGGGACGGCCGACCAACCAGGCGCGGCGCGGCGCCCGCGCCCATGCGGCGAGCGGCCGCTGGGAAGCGCCCGACCCCCCTCGGTTCTAGCCACCCCTCACAGGATACTTCATCGTCTTGATTTGCAGGTTGAGGCCCGCCATCTCCCTGTTCTGGTCGGCCACCATTCGCCGGTACTGGTCGTCTGGCGTGGCGGCGATGAACGGGGGTTGTGGTTGCGCGCTCCGGCGATGCAGGCTGCATAAGCGCCATGGGAGGGCGCCGTAGCGCCTGGGCCGTGTGCAAGTGTGCTGGCCAGGCCGACAGCTTTGGTCGCGCAATACGGCAAACCGCGGGCTGCTGCGGTGGCCGACTGGGGACCGGCCCCGGCAGACGAGCCTGTGCATCGTGCAGCGGGCAGGCTCACGACGCCTGATCACACTTGCGCACCGCTGTTGAGCCCCGTCAGCCGTTGGAAGGCCTCCTTTGCCTTGGCCTCTGTCATATAGCCATGCTTGATTAGGTGCTGCACAAACGCAAAGCGGTGCACCTGTTGCACCCCGCCCACGGAGGCGCCGCCGCCACCGCCATCGTCCCCGCCGCCGTTGCGGCCCGAAGGGCCAGGCTCGTCGTCATTCCTGCGCCTCTTTGGAGGCATAGCGATGGGTGTGCTGCTGTGTGTGCTAGTCTTGCACAGATTCAGGTGATCTTGGCGCGTTGGTGCCACAGGGCGTTTGAGCCGTTGCCACTGTATGTAATGTATATTGAATCAACACAGACGGTAAGCACAGGAGCGCTTTGAGGGGTTGTAACAGCTGACACGCACGCCCGGTGCGCAGCTGCTGCCCGGTGCACAAGCAATCTTGGAGGCCAGCGACCGTGTGTGGGCTGTGAACTGTGCGGTAGAGACTGTCACACCATCTTCCTTGAAGATCGCCGTCATCCTGTGTCTCTTTTGCAGCCCGGACCCGAGATGCAGTCTTCCACCCTTACCCAGCGGTCATGCCGCACCGCGTTCACCTCCAGGGTGAATGCCAGGCGTGTGATGGTGTGCCGCGCCCAGCAGGTGTGCAAAAGCTGCTCTGCTCCTGGGAGCTCAGGGCATCAGCGGACCTAGCGTCGTGTGGACGCCAATGGGGCACCTGCCGCGTTTGAAAAAGGATGTATATCTCTGCAGCCGCCCGAAGAACGCCTGCCCAGCACCTGGCGGCGCATGGCGGCGAACTGGTGGTGCTCGGGTGCAGCGTGCCGCCGCTGACCGCGCGAGCAGCTCAGTATCTCGCGAATCACGGGCGCCGCAACCGCCGCCCCGCGGCCCCCAACCCTCCAAACGCGCACCCCGACAGTCGCCCGCCGTCTCGGAGGTCGCTAAGCGGGCCGCGGCGGCCGGCGCAGCGGCGCTGCTGACGCTGGCTCCCGCGGTGCCCGCGCTCGCCAATGAGTTTGACATTCTGGCGGAGCCCGCCCCCACCAACGCCTACTATGTTGATGACGCCGGCGTGCTGAGCAAGAGCACGAAGTCTGAGGTCAACAAGCGGCTGCGGCTGCTGGAGGTGTGTTTTTGTGCTTGTGTGTGTGTGTGTGTGTGTGTGTGTGTGTGTGTGTGTGTGTGTGTGTGTGCGTGCGTGCGTGTGTGTGTGTGTGTGTTTGGGGGGGTGGGGGTGGGGGGCATCGCCTCGGCCGCCACGGCGTTGGAGCACTTCGGGGCGGCCACCACCCGTCGGATCGGGGCTGGGTGCTACCGCTGCTGCGCGCCGGTGTTGCGAGCGGACTGCTGCTGCCAGGGACGGCGTGTACCAGAGAGAGACAGCCGCGCTGGGAGACATGGGTGACGCCTGGGAAGCATCGTGCATCCCCGCAGCCGGAAGGGCAGTGGCAGACCTGTCAACTGTCACAAGCGTTACATTGTCGACGCCCTTGGCACAAACCCACTTCCACACTCACGCGCGCGCCCCAGACCACCACGGGCTACCGCGTCACTGCGGTGACTGTGCGCAAGCTCGAGTTCGAGACGGACGCCTACGCCTTCGCCGACAAGGTGCGGCATCGAGCCGGCGCCGCGCGCACCGTGCACATCGCGCCGCCTTGCAGCAGCTCGCGTTCGCGAGGGCCTGCGGTGACGACGGACGCGCATCGTGTTCTCCTGTGCCTTTAGACGTGCCACGCCTGCGCCGGCACGTGGTGTGGTGAAATGTTGACGCATCGGGTGGGAATCGAACCTGCATGCAGGCGCTGGAGAACTGGTACGGGTCTGAGACCGACAAGAAGGGCGTGGTGCTGATGGTCACTACCGGCAAGGAGGGCGCGGTCACCGGCGGCGCGAGCTTCCTGGACGTGAGGGCCCGCAGCGGGGGGCCGTGGGCCTGGGCGGGCTTGGGCGCGAGAGGGAGGAGGGAGGGACATCCGGCAGCGGCAGGGCGCTGACGGGCTCGCCAGGCAGCCTCCTGTGAGGGCGCCCGCAGCCAGCAGAGGGCCCGACCACTGGCGCTTGCGACGATGCGCACGCATGCATGTGTGTCAGCACCCCATGCCCGCACTTGCACCACGCACCCACCCACATGCTCTTCACTCACGCCCCCCCCCCCCCC